AATTCTCATTGGCACTAAAGTGTCCACCTTCCCTGATGGAAATTTTGTGCACATGCTTGCAAGTTTCTGTTCAGCAGTTAGGTACTTTGGAATTAACATTTCTCTAGGTTAAACTGATAGTCAACTTTAATGGGCTTCATATTTTTATCACACTCTGTATTCCAACAGAGTTTATCATGATCAATGAAAGCAACTCCAGAGGATGATGTCTAACCATGACTGTTATGCAGATGCAGAGAGCTGCATCTAGAAACTCAAGAGTGGCCTTAGTTCAATGACTCCCTCAAGCATGAACCAGTTTTCAAATGCTCAACCAGCGCTCATGCAATTTTGACCAAAGTCTCTAAGAAACTCATCATGTCTAATAGCACTCAGTCCAGTGACAGTCATAACCTAGTCAGTGCAAGCTTATTCAAATCCCATAAAAGAATGTGCATAATCTCAAGAATATCCAAGTTTTATAAGGAACAACTTGTTGAGTTGACTCGAGACTCACAGTCTGAGTTTTTAAACATTTATAAGGAACAACTTCTTGAGTTGACTCGAGACTCACAGTCTGAGTTTTTAAACATGGATGGAGACAATGGCCATACATGTTCCTCTTTGCAGATTATACTTTTTATGTTCAGCTGCCAACCAACTGACAAATTTGTGCAATAACCAACCAGTGACATCCTATGATCAGGGTCCCATCCAAGCTAAACCTAATCCATGCCTTAATCGGATTGACTTGGATTACACAGAAATGAATGTTTATGATGCACACAACAAACCGATGTTCTATTCCACGTGTTTTTGCAGCAGCAAGAGCAGATGAAAGGAAGTCCAGAATAATGATACCAACAAGATGACAACAAAACCCTAATTGCTATATCTCTTGCTTATATAATACAGTTGGTAGCCCAACAGGATAAAGTACGATTGCTGCAAACACATTATATAGGTATCTCTTCATCCACTCAGCACAGCTTTCAGAAGAAAACCCACATGAATGGTAAAAACACATGTCTAGGCCATGCGTCTATAGCTTATGTTGCAAAACCATAGCTGACTAATAGATTGTTTCATGCAAAGAGACATTGTGATATAGCATGAAATAAGCATTCACCTAGATCAAGGATCATGGCATCAACAACTCCCACCTGGATCATGGTACCCAACCATAATATAGAATTGGCTTTATGGTACATGGGAGTGCAGGTGAAAACTAATGGGTATTGATTGTCAATATAAACATAATAATAACATTTGAAAACTGAAGAGACTAAAATAGAAAGTTAAGATATAACACCAAAAATCACTTGAGAAAAGTTAATTTATGCAATAAACTTCTGGGTAATATACCTAAGAGCAACACTACTGAACATGATGGAGTTGAAAAATAAGCAAAGGTTACACTCCAGAGCCTCATTTTAAGCTAGAGTATGGAAGAAGAAAGCCAAGGCGGAGTATCCATGCTCAAGAAATGTGGAATCAAGAGGAAAATTCACCAATGCCATTACTGCAAAACCTCTTTATGACCTAGACATGGCATTTCACGACAAGCATATCGTATTGAGTATCGGGAAACCAGTGAATTTATGCTTGAGAAAATAAATCAATGTGAAGCCGGGACAGTAGCTAAAACCCCATACATCAGCATGCATTAGCCCAAGAAGATGAATTCAAAGAAGGATGTTCTTTGTGGTTGCCAAATTAAAAATTACATAGTCCCAAGGAAAACATTACTATATGAGGAAGGTAATACATGTCGCTTTGGCACAATTGCACGTGTCCATATTAGATGTGAGTACAGGATGTCTAATTACCCATGTCATCAAAAAAGGTGCCCAACACACACACACACACACACACACGGAGACAGAGTGGCCCCATACGTCAATCAAGAAAACTTTAAATCTTCTAGAAAGTTGACAAGTACTCCCTCCATGGAAAAGATAACTAATCATATGAATAAATGCGTAGCAAAGCCTACACTATCTTTTGTACCGCATTAAAATGTTGACGTAAAATATTGAAGATAACTGAGTATATGGCCACTCAAGCCTAGTCTAGCTCGTACCAGAAAATCCCCTTGAGTCCCCCGTATCACTTCACATAAAGTTGACAAAGCAAGCGGATAAAAATTCCAAAATAGGCATTAGTAGAAGAATAAGAGACATCTACAGAAGAATGCAACAAGCTATAACAAATAAAGTCATGGGGGAACATACAAGCTTTTGCCACTGACCAGTGTAACTTTCATCACTCGGAGAATGGTAGTAAACGTAGAACCTTTTGCACATGAATTGAGGTCAACAACTATCTCCAAGTACGACTGGTTTGAGGCATATAGAAAATATGCCTTGTCAACCATTTCCAAGAATAACATGAACATTCAAAAAAGAAAATATTATACAATTACACTAGTCTAACAAAACCATATGCAAAGAAAAATTAAAAAATGGAGACATAAAACAGAAGGGGCACTTACATACACCCAAGGAAATAAAAAGTACAAATGAAACAGCAATTTTGCAAGGAAAAAGTTTATATAAGGTTGCAACCTCAAAAATCAAGTGGCAAAGAGTGTTCCGAAGTTGGAAACCTACCAATTGATCATCTCGATCTCGAGATGCATGGACAAAAAAAAAAGAATTTCAAAGCCTAAAAGTAGTGCATCTTGTAACAAGCTATCTGGATCATCTATTTTTTTGATTCTCAAATATTTATCATCTTAATCGTCACCATTTTTAGAGTTTGAAAATTCATAATTAGAAATAAATGTAGATTGTTAACCTATCGTAAGGTTTCTGATTCCAAAAATACATCTTCTAACAAAATTTACAGGTGTTCCTGACTTACAGTATGAGGTGGGCACCTTGTACAAACCTCTCCCATTTTGCAATCAATAGCAAGAGGACAACTCTGAACCAGCAGAAGTTGAGTTCAAAAGCAGCTGGTGAGCTTCTAACAGAAGATGAGAACAAATATGTACAGGGAAATAGATAGAAGAGTCCATGGCCAACGAAGGCCAAAGTCCAATCAAGAATATATTTTATTAGTGTAAGACAAGAATGAGAAACAACACTAGAGGAATCAATACAGGAGAAAGAAATTTGATTAACATGGAAAAAAATGAAAGAAGGAAGCCAGCTGTGAATAAAGGACAATTACAAAATAACTGTTTAAGGTTTGAAGGAACCAAAAAATCGAAAAAGTACTAAAAACCAAAGGACGCTCATCACTGCAGAAAAATGGAACCTAACAAACTGAGTAAAAAGAAGAAAGAATGAAGATATATGAAGACATAAAGATTGTTGGACCATCATAGGCATAATCTAATTGGCATGCTCCAGCATGGAATTCTAACTATTTTGATCTAAATTTCATTCAAGTCTAAAAAGGATAACATAATTGTGACTCATCAATGGCTAATTTGCACTCAAGAATATGACAATGATACCATATAGATCCAAATTGCTGCAATTTGATCGATACTACTGAACAAAATAACGCTCATAGCCATGTTTTGAATGCAGTGGTGACCAGAATTATGAAAAATATATAACAACTAATAGGACAAAAAAAATTGGGAAACTTACATCGGTACCATAAATCAAATGCGGTATTACAGTAGAGGTACATCATAATCATCATCATCATCATCATCATCATCATCATCATTATCCTCATCCGAGCCTTATCCCAACTATTTGGGGTCAGCAATGAAAAGACATGATAAAATTTTACGTTGACTGCCCTACCTAACACATCCCTCCTTTATATCCGGGCTTGGGATCGGCATGACCAGCTTGGGACCGGCCATGGCAGAGCTGTGGAGGTGCATATTTTCCTCATTTTTACACCGAGGTCCAACTCGCACACCCCTTTTTATTTTTTTCCAAGTTTTCCCAGTCTGGTGTTCCAAAAATCAGACTGGTTTTATATTTTATTTTTTAAATTTTTTTGGTCGTAGGGATGTGTAGCTCGGGGACCAATTTGGGGTTAATCCGATGTTTCAAACATCCAACTGCCCTAAAGCAGGGCAGTTCGATGTCACAAACATCGGAGCCACAGTGCTTCTTCCCTAGCTTTATGTCGGTCCGATGTTCAAACATCGAAGCAACATGCTAACCTTTTGGTTCTTTTTAAAAGGACTCCGGTGTTTGCATCTTCGAACCGCCTATATAAAGAACGCAGTCCAATGTTTGGAACATCAAACTACCCTAAAGTAGGGTAGTTCGGTGTTTGGGCTATCGTACCCGCCTTACTCTAGGCAATCTGATGTTTGAAACATCGACCGACCCAAAATTGGCCCCCAAGCTATCGGACATCCCTAGGAATAAAAAACATTATAAAAGAATTAAAAAAAAAAAAAAAATTAGTCCTATGGCTGGAACATTGGACCGGGGCAAAATTGAAAAAAATGAAAAAAGGGGAGCTTGTTGAACCTCCACGTAATATTTAGAAAAATATGTACCTCAATGTAAATACCGTATTTAATTTATGGTATGCATATAAATTTCCCAAAAAATATTGAAGGAAAATAATGTGGATGAGTCATTTAAACTGATTCATAGATCACTTAAATCATTTTAGTATATAACTCTGTGTACCCAAACAAAAATGTAAGATTGAAACAATAAAGAAGGTAACTAAGGGTTCATACTTTAAAATCCTTCAATTAAGAAAAAAAGAATAGAAAATGAAAAGCTTTCAATTATGTGATCTTTAACATTCAATTGTACTGAAGAAAAAGAAAATAAATGCTTTCCTACATATCAACAAGCAAATTTAATCAACATATCACTGTCATCTCTTTCAATTTAGATTTAATAGTTCCCATTATTTGATGGGGCTATTCTCAGTGGAGATGACAAAATTAAACCAATCAATTGTAATATTTGCATCTTACACCCTGTCGAGTGAATGCATGGGCATTATACAAAAATGACTCAAAACTAAGAGACAGTATTTCCTTTTCATTCTCAAATAGATAAATGCAAAACATTCTACCATATTCCAAATGAACTTCGTGTTGGAAATTGTGAATATAACATTATTATAACTGCTTCTCAGCTTCAACATAAACTACTTGTTGAACAATGAATAAGCAGGTCAGCATACATGTATCCTTGAGAAGAGCAATAACTACTACAATGCATTACCCACAAATGCTATGCTGTGAACATCCTGAACTACAAAATCAATAAGCCAAGAATTGGGATTGGGGTACCACATCTGATAACGTTTTCAATGTATGAAGCCTTTGTACATTAGTATGACCAAGAAACCAGAAGAGCTCAGTGGTTCAGCTCCAAGCATTGTTGATCATCCCCAAAACCAGCCACACTGGTCTTCTATCCCAAAGCCAAGGGCAAAGCACAACTTCAATAGTGCTTTTGCACATTGAAAAGAACAAGATTTACATACTCTAGTGGGACTTTTATTGATTCCTTTATTGGTTCCTCTGCTCATTCCTCCATGAATTCTTCGCAGCCTCTGCCGAAGACCCACTGCCTGAGTCCCCTCCATTCTCGTTCTTTGGCTTTGAAAAGAAGGGGTCCCACTCGTGAGGCCCCACAGTACGTTGTCCCTCCTCCAACAAAGCATACTTCCAACTATTCTCCTCAATGTAATCATCATCATTATGCCCTTCAATTATGTCCTTCCTCAACTTTGTCACCTTGTCTATGATCGCTTCGACTGCCACATCAAATGCATCCTTTAGAGTCTCAAGCCCTGATCTTGGGTCCGCATATATCAACCTCGGTATCATGCTTATCACCTCCTCCCTCATCACCTTCACTTGCTCAGGTGAGATCTCCCTCAACCTCCCTTCAATGCTCACACTCTTCTTCCTAACATCATCTTCTGGGATAAATACTGAGTACTTCGTATAATTCCTAGGAAGGTGCCATGTGTATTGCGTGTATGCCGAACCTGGGTGGAAGAAAACTGGAATGCACCCTGCCAACATCGAATCAAAAGCTGATCGCCTCGTATACGAGTCCCCCTGAGGCTGGAGGCAAAACAAAGACCCCTGAAACATTTTCATAATACTACTCGGAGAATGGCACTTGCTCTCCCCAAAATCGCACTCTAAGAGCTTACATGCTCGTGAATTATTGCATTGGTCGATGATCTGCCCTCTAATCGACTTTGGATTATCGGGACGTGGGGCACCAGCAAATGAGAAGAGCCATGGCCGATCAAGCTTCCGCATCCTATCCTGCCAAATGAACACATCAGAGTCTTTAGCAGGATGGAAGTATGTCGGGTATGGGATCCCAAAATCGTTCCCATTCCATGGGCTCGATTCCACCACAAGCATGGACATATTCCTGGCAGCAGGAAGAAACAACAGCTTATTACCCCAATTTGACTCCTCGTCTGTGAGCCTTCGAAAGTCCCATGTGATCCTCCCTGCCACCAAAAAATGGTCCCTTCCACCCATTACCTGCCACTCTGGCCGAGCTGTGAGCCAATTGACAAGTGCAAGAGATGCAGCATCGCGCACTGATGTGTTGAATCCCCAAAGGAACCGGGAAATGTCAAAACCGGCATAAAATGGTACGAAAAATGCAGCAGCCAGAGAGGGGTCCGAAGTGAGGCATTTGTATTGTTTCATTCGATTTCGGAAGATCACATCCACTGCAAATTGGTTTGTGGCATACCAACCTGTGTCGGAGAAGACGCCGAGAGAATTATCAAGAGGGGGGCCGAGTCCAGCGTTTGAGGTGAATTTGCACATGTTGGTCCACAAGCTGAGGCGACGGCACTCCTTTAGCATATCGTCATTGAACTGAGAGGGGAGGTTGTGCACATAGATGTAGCGGCCACCACAAGGGTCACTCTTGTTCTCGACTGTCCGCAAGGCTCGCATGAATGGGAAGTTCTTCTTCTTTGGTTTTTGCCGGGGGGTTGAGGTAGAGTAAGATGAAGAAATTGTGGGTCTTCCAATCGGAATTTGGGGGGAGTTATCAGAGGAAGAAGAAGAAATTGAGGGTCTTCGAATGGGAACTTCGGGGGAGATGTAGGGTTCGGATTGGAGGACAGAGAAATGAAAGAAGAATAGGAGGGACCAGAAGAAGGCAGAGAGGACGAGAATGAAGCAGAAGCGGGACTGGGGCTTGCCTTTCTCCATGTTGGGAGAAGAGGTAGCCCTTCGTCGCATCAGATCCTTTCCCTTTACAGATGCTGATGGGATTTCAGGCAATTTTTACCTTGCATGATCAAAATTGCTGATAAATTAACAGAGACATGGAGATTGGGGGGTTCCAAATAGTCCAGAAAAGGCTTTGACGATGGTGATGATGGAGATTCAGGGATTAGTTAGAGAGAGAGACAGAGAACCGTAATTAGAAGATTTGGAGCAGGCCCCTTGCCCTAGCTACACAGAGTCACCTGCAATACATAGAGAGAAGGGGGAGTAGCTAAAGTAAGGGGTTAAGGCTTGAGAGAGAGAAAGAGAGAGAGAGGAGAGAGAGGGGCTCAAATCAAGGAGTTTGCAGGTTTAGCTGAAACCAGGGGAGCCAAAATCCATATGATTTCAAAGGATTTTAACCCTGAAATGAGAAATAATTGTTCTGATTGGTGGGAACAGGTCTAATTAACACGTTTGAGAGAGCGACCGCGAAAGTCCACTGCCCCTAGAGAGAGAGAGAGAGAGAGAGAGAGGAGAGAAGAAATGACAACAAGTAGTAAGTAGGTACGTTATAGAAGTAAGGAAAAGGGACGGGGTACCGAGAGACGACCGTAGGAACGTCGTACGGACGGACCGTA